ATCGAAGATTTTGTATTTCTCGAAATTACCGTTATATGGGATGTGGGCGTGGTTTTTGTCCGATTTTTTTTATTTAGTATGCCGTACCAAGGCCGACAACTGTGCCAAGTTTGGAAGAAATTGGTGCGGCGGTTACCAAGATATACACATGTAACCATAAGTGGGCGTGGCTACGCCCGTTTTCCAAAAATTTATAATATTCTTATTTTTCGTCTAAAAATTGTTGTAAATATCAATTTTGAGTGAATAATCTTCAGTAGTTACTAAAATATCGCAGTTTTCGTATTTCTGAAAATTACCGTTATATGGGAAGTGGGCGTGGTTACAGTCCGATTTCGCCCATTGTCAATACCAACCTACCTTGGATTAACGGAAACCTACATACCAAATTTCGTTGACATATCTCAATTTTTGCTAGAGTTATCGTGTACACAGGCGGACGGACAGACAGACATGGCTTAATCGACTTCTCTATTCATTCTGAGCATTTATGTATACATTTGTCTATATCTATCTGATTCGTTTTGGCTGTTACAAACAACCGTTATGTGAACAAAATTAATATACCCTTGTGCACAAGTGCGCTCGGGTATAAAAATTGTGGAAGGTGCCGCCCGGGAACAGCTTCCTGTAAAAAAAGCACCTGGAACAGATTGAATATGTTGTCGCCTGTTCGGAGCTCATCATCATTGCGGTTTGCACTGTTCACACCGTTCTGTTGTTTTAACCATTATTGTTTGTGCCTATGTCGTTGTTTGCGTCGCTATAATTGCTCGCGCTGCTACTGTGAGCCACCACCAACTCTTTCGTCGTCTCAAACGGGACCTCTGCCTTCCAATTGTCCATTGCAACTGTTGCTCTAGCCTTTTCCCGTTCGTGTTCCAACGTTAATTTTAAGAGTTGAATAAGTCGAAAATTTTGTCGCCCCAGCCGTATTCCTCGAGGCGCAAACTATTTCATGATTCTACTTTGAATGCACAGAACATCGTAATTTTCTTGGGGCAGCTCGTGCATCTGCTCACCATCGTTGTCAGTGTCGTTGTTTGCACCTTTGCTCTCACCATCGCCGCTGTTGTACGTGGTACCAGTGTTGCCAGGTCTCCGGCGTGAGAAAACGTCCCTCTTGGTCTGAAAAAACGTCATTTCCTACCCAAAAACGTCTTTTTCAATTGAATGTACAAAAAATTGTTCTTATTAAACTTTTATTGTATACAAAGGTACATCCCTAACCGCCAAAATAACGTAAGCGTCATTTTTTTCAAAAATTTCTTTTTGATGCAGAAATATTCCTTGAGCATTTAGATGCATTTCTGCATCAAAAAGAAAATTTTGTCGCTTACGTTATTTTGGCGGTTAGGGCTCGATATGTACGTAATGTATATTAAAATGTCATTTCGACAGAGCACATTTAAAATTCATTGTAAACTGGTCGTTAATATAAAAATCATTTTATACATACACTTGTGATCACCTGACTAAGTCATCGATAGTTTGATCGATTTTGGCTGTTTCTCTTTCGTTTATTTATGTTTATTATTTTTCCATAAAAGCCAAGCTCATTAACAAACAAAATATAAATCCACAAAAATTGTGCAAAAATTATAAACAGTCTGCAAGTTTTCAGCTAGATTTTCAACTATTTATTCAGAGTTTTTAGAATTTTTGTTGAGTATGCAGTTTGATAGCCCATTAAATTTCAGGGCAATAATGTGCAAGTTTAAAGGGGCTAAATAATCGCGTTGATTTTTAATAATTTGTTTTTTTTGTAGACATTTGGTTAGGAGCTCGGTTGTCGAAAATGCTAAATTACGGTCTGCTAAGAAGGAGCATAGCAATAGTTCCATTCAATATCAAAAAATTGTTACAAATTGTTGCTAGTACTTGCACGTTTTTACTGGGAATGCATTCAATAACCCAAAATATTTGCAAGAGGGAGCGAATTCGAGAGCGTAACAACCCGAGAGAGCTGCAAATTCTTGCAACCATTATTAAGAAAATAATTCAAAATCAGTTCTACTTATAAGATTTAGTAACAAAGAAAAATTACTGGGAAGTTAAAAAACGTCAATTTTTTACACAAAAAACGTCCAAACGTCAACAGGGTACAAAAAACGTCCAAATGACGTTAAAAACGTCAACCTGGCAACACTGCGTGGTACAATCACCTTTAACGTTTCGAGCGTAACTTCGTTGCTCGACTTTCAACACTTACTGCCATTGTACCCTCTTTTTCGAACAGGGTCTTTTGTAATCTTAGGAGTTCGATCTCTTTGCGCAATAACTCGACTTTTACTTACTCAGCTTCAACACTACCGCTGTTGCGGCCAGACGCCGCGTCGTTATTCGCACCGCTACTCGCTCAATCGACGCTTCCCTTACCTCGGGGAAAACGGACTCCAAAAGTACAGCTACGTGCACATGGTAAAATATTTTGCATGTATGCCGCACCATCGCTGTCTACCACATTTTTCGCACCTTCGTTACAGTCTGCACCATTTTCTTTGTACGTTGATATTCCCATTGTCTCCCCAGATGCGACAACATACGCTGCCTTTTTCTACAGCCTTAGCCTGGCGGCCAACGATGCTTTTGAGCCGCTTGCTTGACGCCCACGGCGGCACACCATACTTTTAGCTGCATCAGTGAATACTCTTCTGAATTTTCTACATCGCGTTCCATTACGTAAGAAAAAATAGTGGTATTCGCCAAAGTGAGCAAGTGGCAAAATACAATTCAATTTGGTGAATACCACTAATGTTTAATTAATTCAACGTTTTCAGTACTTTGCGATCACTTTAATATATGATGGGTCAAAAGACCACTTCTGATGAAATATTCTAAGGGGTTATTAAAACACGTCCGGCGTTCTCGCTATCAAATATCGAATGAATCTTTATTCCGGTAACGGTTTACTCTGCCACTTATGGTATAGACACAAATCGCCCTATGCCTAGTTTGCAATAACTTAACTTAATGCTTAGTGCAGGTATACTATACACTCTTACACTTTCAACTTCTGCAATAGTTATGTTAGTTTATGTTAGTAATTTATTTTTATTAGTAACTTTCTTATGTATCACGTATGCATGTACCCATGTATTTACGTGTGTACGTATAATTGCAAATATATAGAGCTAGAGACATACACATCGCCATCATTATCGCAAAACGCCGTATTGGATATTTTAGGCAAGTTTTGCTCTAACTTAGCGATCGTTATAAGTGAACTTAAAAATATTTTTGCTTATATAATATATATTATATTTGTCAAATAGGACTTATATTATTGATGATGGCGATAAGTGCTTAGCGGTAATGTAATGTTAAAAAACTATGATAAACTTGCATAAATAACTTACATACACATGTCTCTTTTATCTGCAGACGTCTCATGGAAGCTGGCATTAAAGAGGAGGACATCATTCAGCTCGCTGAAATGGGTTTCGAAGCCTGGCAAAAGAGGTATGAAAGTCGGACAAATTTGCCGCATAACAACGATTCTCTCTGGTTCCTTCGCGATTGTTCACGTCAAGAGGCTGAGGAATTACTGAAGGGTGCCCCTACAGGCACATTCCTTATACGTGCTCGTTCTGCTGGTCATTATGCATTGTCTATTGTTTGCAAGAACGTCGTAAACCATTGCATTATCTACGAAACGGAAAGTGGATTTGGCTTTGCTGCTCCTTATAATATTTATGTTTCTCTGAAGGAACTAGTGGAACATTATGCCAGCAATTCATTGGAAGAACACAACGACACGCTAACCACGACGCTGCGAATTCCCGTAAAGTATTGGCATGCCAATAAGGAATCGCTAACGAAGCAATTGGAAGAAGAACTGGAATTGGAACAATTGCAAATTGAAGAAGAGGAGCTGCAGCATCAAGCCGGACAAGAACAAGTACAATTACAGTTGCAATTACAGCTGCAGCAACAGCCATCGTCTGCGATTCCAATACCAGGCAGTGAGGCACTAGATGTGCAAACACCACCCTCTTCGTTGAATTCCGTCTCTGGTGGTAGTGTCGCCGGTGGCAGTTTCAGTGCCAACCAAAATCAATCGCAACCATAATAAAAACAACAGTAAATCGCATCAGTGTGGAAGCTTGCAGGTCATGCTTAAAGCATTTGTGATTGTCGAGCTTCCATTCGCAATCCCAGGCCTACTTAGGATTTAAACATAACATTCGAATGCGAAAAAATAAGTTGTATTCTATATGTCCAACTTTTGTGATGTGATGATGTTGCAATTTTATTAAGCATAGCATGGGTAATTTGTTGAAAGCATGGCTATTTTGCCTAATCCTTTTCAAATTTTAGGTGTTATCTGTATAGCTAGCTTTAATGTTAATTCAGGTGAAACGACACTGCTTCATATATAAGCAACTCGCGCATTTAACCCGGCGATAATCATGTAATTAGTCTCTTAGTCTATAAAGGCAGTTATGTTTTGATGTGAGCGCTGTTGTCACAGTTATCATGGTGTCGTGTGTCTTAGGCCTAGGCCACGCAATAAGCGGCAAAACGGCGAGCGGCTGAGCGTCTTAAAATTAAAGCATATGAAATACTTTTGAAGTGGCCACGCACTGAGCGGCTGAGCGGCATTTATGTATGGCGCCTTTCAGCTGCTCAGCCGCTCGCCGCTTTGCCGCTCATTGCGTTGCCTCGGCCTTACGGTGATCATCAAAATGGTTATATAAATTATTGCTATACAGATAATTGTGAAGAAAAAGTAATATTGAAGGGAAAAGGATAATGTTGTTTTGTATTTTTTACTATTAATGTACTTTACTTTTACTTATACGATGAAGATCTGAAAGTAAAGTCGCCATGTTCTATGCAAAAAATGGGGTGAATATGTAGTTTTGCAAAATACATTTCTATCGTGATATGTTAACCTGTTAAATTTATACAACAACCTGAAGTCAACATATGGTATAAATATGTATAACAAAATATCTTGATGCAATTCAGTTTAATGATAAACATTAAATGTTACTCTCGCGACGGCGTATCTCTATGCTTTACTATACATACCTTGCCGCTTTTTATTTTCCTCTGTATTAGATGCTATAACTGTTAAAAAATCAACCCTAGGTATGCCATAATAAATCACGAACGGCTGTTAATGCCAGTAAGCCAACAAAAAAAAAAAAATGATAATAATTGGATAATTCGAAGTGTATTGGTCTTAGGAGAAGGTACGAAATTAATTTTTTATTGCAAATAGAATAAGTTTATGTTATAAAAGCTTGCTGTGAGCGAAAATATTTTACTTTGTAAATAAAGATAACTCCTGGGATGCATTCGACAACCGAATAAAAATGTGTAGAGTTATTTAATAATTGTTATGTTAAGAGAATCGTCAATCTTTTGTCAAGTTTTTGTTACGAGTACCGTCTAAAATTTACCTATAATCTACTCTTTTTTTAACATTTTGTATATTTTTGCATTAAACTACTAATATAATTAAATTTACATAAAAAAATTAATATTTTTTTTATGTGTCGTGCCACTGTTGAATTGTGCATACGCATATTTTTCGCCCCATTTTCTTTTGGCCTCCATACGTATTTCCTTCCGAACTTACATATGTATTCCTTTTTTAATTCTGTATTTGGTCATAATAGCGGAAAAGAACTGCGTAACAAACAGGGTATGAAAAGTAGTGGGCGAAAATAAAAACCAAGTTATTGCTTGCTGTGTATATAAGCGGTGGATATGTGCGCTAAATAATACATAGTGCATATGTATAAGTAAATAGTGCATACATATGTATATAAATGTTTTATATTTTGTATGAAAATTTGCACGAATTGAACAACTTTTGACTGTATTGTATACTTTTGGCTAAGTTAATACGAATAAACGAAAACTAAAAATTTTTGCATTTATGAAATGGGTTGGAGTTTAAACAGTGATTGGTTTTTCATATGCATGTTAGTTAGTTGGTGGGCGACCGGTAGGTCTATTGTGCCCCTAGCTCATCACAACCAGCCCCAGGGTGTCTATAAACTTCTTAATATACCCCGGGAACAGTGAGTATATGTGCTCATCTCTTGGTCAGACGTGCCCTATGCTCCTATACCTCCTGCGCGCAACGGCCTCACACTCCATAAGAAGGTGTAGTGGAGTTTCCCTGGCCGCATCGCAGAAGCGACACAGGTCGCTGGACCAGATACCTAGTTTGTACAAGTGCCCTCTGGGCCTACAGTGGCCAGTCAAAAATCTTGTAATAACTCTCAGTTTATCCTTTGAAAGATTCATGAGTAGCCTGCGTCTTATCAGATTTTAACCTCCTAATATGCTTTTAGCCGGACGTTGACCCATAGTACCACGCCAGTGCAGTTCCCTCAGTTTGCAATTGTCCCTTCTGAGCATATCCTTTATGGTACTGGATCCCACTGCCAGAAAGGGCTCAGGTCCTATCGGGGTCGAGGAAGCGGCTATTCTGGCCAGATGATCAGCCTCCTCATTTCCTGCAACCCTCATGTGCCCAGGTGCCCAGATTAGTTGGATATCATTAACCTCCGCCAGAGCATTAAGCCTCTCGACACACTCCAAAACAAAGGAGGACTTTATCTCGAATGATGAGAGAGCCATAAGTGCCGCCTGACTATCACTTAGTATAAGGATCTTTTCATTCCTATAGTTCCGGCTAATGTTAATCTCTGCCCACATACTGATGGCATAGACCTCCGCTTGAAAGATGCTTGGGAAGGTTCCCAGGGGCACCGAAAGCTTCAGCTTAGGGCCGTACACGCCTGCTCCAATCCCCGCAGGTGTTTTAGAGCCGTCAGTGTATTGTGCTCGCCCGTATGTGCCTTTCCATAACAGAGGTACACCAGGTCGCCTTGCTGTAAGTGTAGGTCCTTAAATTCCTTTTGAAGACAACCTGTCTGTTGATATCGTTCCTGGGGATCAAAGCCAGGGGGAGCTGGGTACCTATCTTGTCCTTGTTCCTAGATGATAACACCTTGCCTTTGCCGAAGCCCTCCCTCGCAAAGTTAAGGAGGGTTCGCTTTGCAACCTGTTCAACTGAGAGATGCAGTGGCTTGAGTTCCAGCATTACCTTCAGCGCAGCCGTCGGGCATGTGGGCATTGCTCCCGTAATGCAAACACATGCCAGACGTTGAAGCTTAGAGAGGGTCTGCCTCACCGTTGCCATAGTAGTTCTGGGATACCAAGCCACCGCACCGTAAGTCACTATCATGGTGTCCAACTGAGGATCCTCGGAGTGCACCCCAGGATTTACCCGCTAGACGTTTGCACACCATCATCGCTTTAGTGGGCTTAGAGGTGACTGCATCAACCATCCAAGGTCAAGTTCCTCGGCGGTGGCAATGGCGTCCGGAAAGTGGGCCGAGAGCAGGGCAAGTGCCATTTCCTGTTCAGTACCTGAAAAGGTCCCCTTAGGTAGCCTAATAGCCAATCTGGCGCCTGTGTTGTCCCTTGCCAAAGCTTTATGAAGCCTAGCAGCTGCAGGAGTGGACGCGATGTTCTCACAAAAGGTCCTGAAGCTGCTACGCTTGGCTTTTCTAATCTCCTTTTGGTACTTTGTCAGACTGACTGAGTATTCCTCCCAGTTCCCGGTGCGCTTTGCCCTATTTAAAAGTCTGCGCACCTCCTTCCTAAGAACCGAGAGTTCCCGTGACCACGAGGGAGGCTGAGCCTTCCCCTTAGGCTTTGACACGGGACAGCTGGACGTAAAGGCATCTAAAATAGTGCCGTTCAGCCTATTAACCCTCCCCTCTAGCGCCATACAATCCACCTTTCTTTGCTGTACCTCCATCCTGGGTAGGTTCAGTCTAAGTACCTCTTCATATTTGGCCCAGTCTGTTTTCCTGGGGCTTTTCTTGGGGTAACCTGTCTGACAAACAGCTCCCAGTGCAAACCGGATAATCCTGTGATCCGACAGTGAGGGCTCAGATGAGACCTTCCATTGAACGATCAGAGGAAGAGGACCGGCAACCCTTTTCACCACCTGGACGAAGGAGGTCAGACTGCCACTGGGTATTCACGTCGATGACGTAACAATTCCGACGGTGAATAACCCGAAAATCCTCGGAGTTACCTTCGACAGTCTGCTCTCCTTCTCGGCGCATACAACCGCAATTGTCAACAAAGTACAGAGCCGCAACAATGTCCTCAAGTCGCTGGCCGGCAGCACTTGGGGCAAAGATAAAGAAACGTTGTTGGCAACATACAAGGCAATTGGCCGGCCGGTTCTGAACTACGCAGCGCCCGTATGGTCGCCGGGGACTAGCAGGACGCAGTGGATGAAGCTGCAGACCTGCCAAAACACGGCATTACGAACCGCGACAGGATGCCTCCTGATGACGCCTTTACATCACCTTCACGACGAGGCCCAGATGATCCCGGTAAAGGAGCATAACTTAATGCTTTGCAAGCAGTTCCTCGCTGGGAGCTACAGACGTGGCCATCCCAGCGGGCAACTGCTCGCGGAAGAGCCCTCGCCACGGCACGTCAGGAGGCATCTTTACGAACTGACAGACGAAGTCCAGAGGTATATTAAACAACCTCTGGACCTGACAACCTGTGAATGCCGTTCTAGGCACACAACCACCGGACGTGGACGGGACAGAACTTTGTCTGCCTCGGGAGACCCGCACAACAATAGCCCAACTTCGCTCTGGCTATTGCAGCAGGCTCAACAGCTACCTGAGTAGAATCAACGAGGATGTGCCCAACCAATGCCCGGCATGTGGAGAGTCGCCACATGACTCCCGGCACCTCTTCACATGGCCTGAGAATCCCACTCAGCTAACGCCCCTGTCCCTATGGACAGCCCCTGTGGAAGTCGCACACTTCCTGGGCCTCCCCTTAGCTGAAATAGATGACAACGATGATGGATGAACCGTCCCGAACGGGGCTTAGTAGCCGCTACAACAACAACAACAACAAGAGGACTGGCCAGTCTGTTGCTGAGAGTGATGTCAAGAACTTCCTCTCTGACCCTAGTAATGAACGTTGGTTGTGAATGCTGAGGTCTTCGCTAATAATATATTCTACTAGTGAACCCGCATGACGTTAACACGCCAAATTTGAGTTTAATGTTTTAAATAGATGGCAACACTATTCACAAACCTTAATACATATTGCAAATGTTTCAAGTAAATTCGTTCATCCTTTTTTGAACGAAGAGAGGTCTCAAATGGCGTCGGTTTTTCATTTCCTCAAAATTCAAACCACCGTGCACCATTTTTGTAACTTCAAAAAATAAAACCTTAATGCACATTTAGAATGGCGGTGCTGATCTGATGACCTTCACATTAACAAAAAAATTATTTACTTATAAAATTTAACTCAAACTAATTATTTCGGTATATTATGGGTTTATTCGAAAAAAACATATATTCCCATTAGTTATGGAACCTGAACTCATCATGTGACTGTCTTCGCAGTAGCGCATCCTGTAAACCGAGTTCTCCAAGACCTTGTTGATGGTTTCTGGCTCTATCGTAAGAAATGCCCGCCATACGCCTAAAAGGCCTGAGTCGTAAATAGATCATTCGCATTATATTGGTCCTTCACGGCATGGCACAAAAAAGTCGAAGGGCGTAAAATCGAGGCTCCGAGGGGGCCAATTAACTTCATCGAGACTGCTGATAACACAATTACCGAACTTTATCGCTCAAAATAAAAATCGAATAGAGGGCAACCCTAACAAAAAATATTTTCAAACAAAAGTTTTATTAAAACTCTTTCTTTTGCCACTCATATTTTGATATTTCATTAAAATGGTGCAAAAGATAAATAAATTAGGTTTTTCAAATAGGTGGCAACCTTCTGCGAAGCATTTTCAAACAGAAATCTTTTAAAGCTCTTTCGTCTGATACTTTGATACATAATTCAATTACATGAAGAATTAAATTGAATTTACTTTTTTTTTGCTGGAG